GGACGTGAACTGATATTCCAGTTTTGTCCATATTAAAGATATTTAGGGGCACAAATTCAAATATTTTCATGACATCTTCCAGTTTATCAAAGAAAAGATTGACATTAAATTTATTAAATGCCGTAGATCTGGTTTTCGTAAACGGATAGCTGGATTTATTTTCTTAACTTAACCAATCGATTCAAGCCATTTTTGCTTCCTTTTAACTAGCAGGATGATAACATTGCTGACATTGGTACAATTATATGCCAATTTTCTCATTTCAGTAGTCGATAATCCATAATGCATACTTGCAGACTACGTCAAATATGAAACTAAATTAACTTCTTGTGCATTTGTGAACACTTGTTTTACAGAATTAGAGGCAGAATGAACAAATGGCAAATTACTGTTTTTACGTGTTTTTTCAAGTGTCTACATAACGTAATTCGGAATTTTTTATATTCTTTAGCGGTTTCTCATAATGACAGTTCATTCCTAAGAACCTTTTCTGCTGCCGCTTCAACATTTTGAGGTATTGGTTTTATTCTTTGTTTACTTCTAGGCATCTGAAATGCGAAAAGAACATGGCTGTAATGACAGTTATCTCAAAAAAAAATTGTCAGTTTACCTTGGGACACGTCTCAAGGTACACTTTTCAATGTGTCCCAAGGTACACACACACATTTATTAAGAAATATAAGTTGTATTCTTAGTCAAATTATTAGGTTATATTAGTATTTAAATATAAAAATAATTATATAAAAACATCTTTCAACTGATAGTATTTGCTACGAAATCTTATAACACTTACCTTAGTTTATAATCTCATGGATGTTTTAAATTTTACAGCATCGCCAGACAAATACAAAATAGTTAATCACGCGTTCAAACAGCTTCAATAGTACATATGCTGCCATCTCATGATTACCTTAGTAGCTTTGTATAATCTTAGCGCTCAAATTCAAATATCAACTTTAAAAAATCAGTTTCTTAAGGTACGCTGTGTCCCAAGGTAGGCACATCTCCCCTACATGATTTATTTAAAATAGATCAAAAAATGTAAAAGTATAGTCCAAATAAGTTTTCAGTCAGTGGCGTAAAATTTAGAGGGGAAGAAGTTGTTACTCCGTTCCGTACGCACTGGTAACGTTTATTTAACTGATTATTTTGCTGATATGTGTAACTTATGACACTATAAATGTTTATCGAATTTAGAAAAATTATACCGAGAAATAAAAAAATCATAATCATTAATAATTTTTGAATTTTCGGAAACCAACAATATTTTATTTAATCGTCTTTTTTTTAATCATAGGATCTTTCGTTGTTCTGTGTCTTATTGTTAACAAGACACTCTGTATAAATAGTTAAATAAAATACAATAATTGAGAAACAAACTGTCCAGCAAAAGTAATTCATGACCAATATATCAAGAAACACGAAAACCAGGCAGATAGATCGATATCGAACCTAGCTATTCAAAATAAATTCCTATTCAACTCGGACCAGCTTAATCAAGTTGATGTGATATTTACTGACTTTCCGAAGGCTTTTGGCAAGATTACCAATAACATAATCAGCTCCAAAAGCTTAATTTTAGTAATCCATTAATCTCTTCGTTCCATTAATATTTTAAGAATTGTCAGCAATTATATAGAGGTCTATACATCTTATGCAAATTAATTAGTACTACAAGGGTCCAATCTTGGGCCTCTATTATTCTTGCTTTTTGTCAATGATGTGCTTTATGGTAATATGTTAAGATGTAAAACGACTTACCCGTTCGCAGTAAAGTTGCCTTCTATCAAATATTTGACTAGGGTTATATATCAAATCACTTGAACACGTAAGTTTTTTATTATAAATTTGTTTTATAATTCATTTTTGTTAAATGCACATTTTTCCCGGTGGACAATCGTATACAATTTGTTAATTGAGATTGGACCAAGATATATTATACAGTTTTCAAATGAGGTATATCAAGCCCTTAAAAACTTGAATCTACTCATAAGACCTCTTATGTTTTTAGCAAGATGGTTTCTATGTAGATATTTGTCGATAATCATTCCTAAATATTTGATATACTATGTGTTTTGGTAATTTTTTTATTGAAATTCCAAATACAATATTCTGAATATAAAGTTAAAAAAATATCAATAATAAGCGCACCCTTTACCTTTGAAAATCAAATGTAAATCGGAGTGTGGGTAGCTCAGTGATTAATAATAATAATCTTTATTTGCATAAATTATTACAATTTAACTTAAATTTAACATTTAAGTTTTTCCAAAAATACAAAATTAACACAAACAAAGAAAACAATTCCCACAAAGCCAAGGATGTCTGTGGGCTGGGTTTATTTGTTTATTTTATTTTTACATCTGCATCTTACTAACTAACATTTTATATTTATACATTGTTTAATTTATTTTCACAAATCAAAAAATTTATAAATATCTTTCCTTGGTATATTTATTAAACAGGATTTAATTTTTTTCCTAAATTAAAATACCGAATAAGTTGAGAAACATATTTCCTTTGGTAAAAAATTTAAAAATCTAGGTACCAAAAACACAAGACTTGTATGTCCTATTGTCTTTTTTTTTTGGCAATTGGTATCATTAATTTTCCGGAATCCTTACTTCTAGTTTTATGACAATGACATATGTATTTTAAATCTAACGAATATTTTTCTTTAGTTAATAAACATACCCCCCCCCATGTTTGCCTTAAGTCTATGATCTTTGCCTCTTTATAAAGAACATTCGAAGAATAAGTTCTATTTTTCTGAAGTATTTTTTTTTTTAAATACTTTTTGGACTACTTCTACCTTTTAAAGATGAGTATATGATACTCCTCCCCATCCTACAACTCCATAGGAAAGGCGAGAATCAACCAATGCATAATATAGTGTTTTAAGAAGAGACAATTTGTAATTAAACCCATCTATAATATTATTTATATCATATTCAATTTTTTGTTTCAGATCATTCCAGGTGTTTGCAGTATAAAAGATGACAGTATCATCAGCAAAGCTCGTTATCTCTCCAGAAGTTGTAAGTGTAAGTTTATTAATGTATATTGTAAAGAGAATAAGATTAAGAACTGTCCCTTGAGGAACGCCACATTGAACAATCCTTCCTAAGCTTATACTATTATCTATTTTACCACATTGTTTTCTTCCTATTGGCAGTGTGAATAAAAATTCAGTAAAAGCTAAATCTTACATTTTCCTAGCAAATGCTTAGTTTGCAATGAATAAAAATAAGTAGTAGCTTTTAATAAAAATACAATTAGCAAAAGCTAAAGTTTTTAGCATTGTCTAAAAATGGTGTGAATAAAAAGAAGTAATTACTAAGAATATTAAGGAAAAGCTTACATTTTTGCAAGCTTGTTAGACCCTGGCGTATTGTTAAACAGTTTGGCAGAAATGGCTGCATTTATGAATATAAGATTTGTAAAATTTTATCCCGAAAGAAAAGAAAGTCGTGCCGAAGAATACCACGGTCTGTATAGATTTAGTGAAGAAAATGTTAAGTGGATAGCTAACCATTTTTTGGAGCCAAAAGTGGAGACTAGAGATGATGCATTGAGTCCAAAAAAACAAATGCAAATATTTTTGTGATCCTGGATTTCAAATAGGGATCGGAAAAAAAGAAGGAGTTCATAGCACAACAATATGTAAAACGATATCTCACGTTTTACCAAAAATAGTTGAAAAGGCAGGAATTTGGATTAAATTTCCTACAGAAAACTCGACTGACCGCACAGTTGTATAGATTTCCCTGTGCTTTTGGTGCAATTAATTGCACTCATGTACCAATAATAAAGCCATCGCTACATGGTGACGAGTATATCAATAGGAAAGGCTTGTGACGGAAAAGAAATTTTTACATGCGTAGATGCTCAATGGCCTGGCTCGGTGCACGACAGTCGTATTTTAAGAAGGTCAAATATTTTTGGTATGATGAGAAGACGTCAACAGAACTATGGACTTATTTCATCGGGTCGGTAGTGTAGCGGTCTAACGCGTTTATATTAGTCCAGGATCCGTAAGTAAGGTCGACCTTCAGACATCTGTTTAATGGATAAAAGTTTTTTTTTATTAAATAGAACATGTTTTTAAATATACCGCAAATGGGTTGCCTAAGAAAATCCGGTCACAGCCATTTTTTAATTTTCTTTCTGTGTAAAGAAAAGGAAAGTATGCGAATCATGATAAGAGTTGCTTATGATGTCATTCTCTATTATTTTGTTTCCATACATGATTTCCCTAAAATGGACCTAATTTGAGATATTTGAGAAAAAGTGCAAATTTTGAATATTGAAGACAACTCAAAAACGGATGAAGAAAAAACAGCAAATTTTAAACTTAAGCTTTAGTCCATCCTGCGGTGAGATGATTAAAGTTTGGGCATAGTAGAAGTTTCTGGGGAATAGTTTACAGGGTGTCGTTTTTTTACTTCAAGAAAATAAATAGTCTGGACCGTATTTTCTTAGACAACCCATTTGCGGTATATTTATAAACATATTTTATTTAATAAAAATAAACTTTCATCCATTAAACAGATGAGTGAAGGTCGACTTTAGGGTTTTTGTCGTTGTCTAGGGGTTTTGGAATGCAAAAGGTCAAGTGTACAATAGGAAAAGAACTATTTTATTTAGAAATTAAATGTGGATATTTGAAATATATTACAAAATAAAATTAATGGATTTTTTTACACTCTACAATACGATACCATATAATATCAAAAGACAACATGAATATTAATACGTAATAAGTAAAATAAACAAGATACTTGAAGGAGGATTTTTCGACAACAACTTTTTCAGGCAGTTATGCCTTCTAGAAAGTTTTCAATAGGCCACACTGTATAACGTTATATTTTATGGTTTTTATTATTTTGAATTACTTTTTAAGTTAAATTTAAATGTAAGTATGTACCTTTATCTTAGTTAAGTTCATTAATTTATTAAAAAAAAAAAACGTTAACAACGAAAACAATTTATTCATTTACTTACAACTTTCTGAACAACAAATTATTTATGTCTTCAAATTGATTTCCATTTTCTTTTTGTATTTTTTCCAACAATAATTTTTCCTTTTCCTTTTGAGCCCTTATTAGTTCTAGCTGTTCCAACAATACCAGTCGTTGGAGCTCTGCATTGGACAAATTTGAGGTTTCGTCTGTTTCCTTAAATTTGGTTCTTCTGGTAACTGGAGACTTATCAGGTAAAGGCCGAACATGAGGTGAAGGTGGAATAAATTCTTCAGTTTCGGACGTTGATGGCTGAGGTTGTTCCATCACAGATCCTATCGACATTGCTCCTGAAATAATTTTTTGGATCAAATAGCAGCAACACAGTAATGTATACTATTCGGCGAAAAAATACTTAATTTTGCTTTTACATCTTCATACCATTTATTTGTTTTTCTAGCCATACTTTATTACCTACCTGGTACTTTTTGAAAAACAGGGTTTTCTTGTCCTTCCATTAGCGCCAAAAGTTGTTTTTTCCACGCGTTTAAAACAATTTTCTTATTTCCCGTTGCAGTTTTGTCCGTCTTCTTCTTCAACTCGGTCTTCATATTTTGGATTTTGCTAGTAAGTAAAAGCAAAAGGTTATTCACTTCAATTTCAGCAAATGCTATTAGCAAAAGCTAAATCTACCTAGTAAAAGCTAAAGCTTATACTTCATACTAAGAGCAAAAGCTAAGTTTTTATTCACTCGGCCCATTAGATAAGATTCGAACAGTTTTTGTGCAACTCCTCGTATTCCCATATCTTGCAAAGAATCTAACATCTGCGAGTAGTCCACAGTATCGAACGCCTTTGCAAAATCGATGAATACCCCTATGGCCGGACAGCTGCAGTCAACAGCCTTATATAATTTTGTTGTTAAGTCTAATATTGCATGTTCTGTAGAAATACCTGTACGAAAGCCAAATTGTTTTTTAGAAATAATATTATTATTATTGTTTAAAAATTATTCTAATCTTATCTTTATTTCTTTTTAAAACATTTGTGAGTAATTGTTTATTATAGAAACAGGTCTATAGTTAGTAAGAGTTTATTTTTTTTTATTTGGTGTCATCGGCATCAACTACTACGGTTATTAGCCTCGTGTTCTGTGCAGGCTTTGTTACTGTTTCCCAGCGCCACTTTAGGAACAGCACATTTCCCTTTTTATTATAAAGAGATTTTATAACTGCAGACTTGAATTCTAACGGAAAAATTCAATTTTCTATAATTAGATTATTAATAATGCAGAGTGGCGAAGAAAGTTCTGTACGAATTTCTCTTAATGTTTCGGCAGTTATATTGTCTATACTAGGACCTTTATTATTTTTCAAATTTTGTATTATTTTAATAATTTCTTCTTTATTTGTGGGTTTTAGGAATATGGTGTTATTATTTACTTTCCGAGGTGGAGGATGTGTTGGTGGTTTTGTAATAAGTCTAGCAAGGTCAGGTCCTACTTCCGAGAAGAACTCATTGAATGCTTCTACTTTTTTTAATTTATTCTCAACAATATTGCCGTTTTCTGTTATTACTTCTTTTATATCAGTTATATTATTATTAGAGTTTGTTATATTTTTTTATTGTTTTCTATAATTTTTGAGAGTTATTTTTATTTGATTATATCTGTGCTTTCTGATAATTAAGTTTAGTAACTTGAATAAGGCGGTTTAAAGAATTTCTGTAATTAGTAAATTGGTCTTTTAACACTTTGTTTTCTATGTCTTTTTGATATGCTTTATATAATTTATCCCTTGTGATTATTGATTTCATGCGACCTACCGTAATCCACGCTTTCTTTTATTTAATGCCCTTGTTGTATTTTAGAAATAAGGGTGTTAGGAGTATTAACAAAGAGTCTAAACTTCTGAATTCAAGTGTCCAGGGTTCGAATCTCACCTTTGACCAGGATTTTTTTTTAAATTAATATAATTAACTAGGAAAATGCTGTTCCTAGAATGATGCTTGCAAATAGTAATAAAGCCTATACAGTACACACTTGAATAAAAAAGCTAGGTTACTGGAAAGCCACTAATTAAAAAAAAAAATCTATATTAAAAATTTAAATTTTTTTCAACGGGTTTTATTGATTCGCTTCCTGACAGTCACAAATGTTTAAATCCCGATGGATAAATCACTTACCTAAATGCGAACCAACCGAGAAATCTACCCTACCAATGATTAAACACTTTAGAGGCACAGCCACAAGCCACAGACCTCAAACCGCAGCTTTACTTATAATTTCTTCCTCTTCTCTCCTTGTTTATGGTTGCAAAGTGGCCTGGCCCGTGCCGATCACAAGTCGCAAGCGAGTCCTCGACCCACGCCAAACAGATCACGAAGAAGTAGAAACATAGATAGTAGAGGTGATAAACAAAATAAAACTAAAAAAGTAATTTTAACAGAAGCGTACGTTTTTTATTTTCTACAGTTTTTTGGGGATGATTTAATGATTTTTAATAATTGCAAGGAAAATTAACCAATCAAAAGATATCCTATATGTTGTTATCATCCAAATTTCACAATTTCACTTTTACCAAATTCGTACAAATTTTTAATACACAGAGTGATTTAAAATTGATTATATTCTTTTAAAAGTAGCAGTTACTTTTTGTAAAAAGTTAATGAATTAAAAAAGAAAAAGATAACTGTGATTAGAAACTTATTTTGCTACTTGGTGATCACAATTTTTATACATTTTTGTAAACGTTTAAAGTGCCAGTGTGTATATTAAAACACAATTTAAATTACGCTTTATAATAATTTTTCAGATTAACAATAAAAAAATTAAATACTTATATGTAAATACTGATACCTATCTAAAAATTATGATATAATTTTTAAAATGTTTTTTATACGCGTTTCAAAATCTGTGAAATCAGAAAATAAATTTAAAAGAGATACTAAACGATAATAGCTTTCATATAGGGTGAATATGCTAATGGTCACATGGAGCCATGTCGAATGCAGCAATAGATAGCTTTAGTCAGGGGGAGGAAACTCCTATGCGCAAGACTGTAGCGTTAAATCAACCACGTCCACTTCACCTGTGGCGCTGCAGTCGTGTGGTGGGAATGGTGGTGTAAGTGTAATGACAGATGACAGGTGAATATTGATTTTTGTGTTGTGAAGGCAAGGTGTCATGGCGGAAACTGGCTAGTAATTGTGAATTTATTGATATTGTTTAATTTGGTTCCATTAATTTGTGATCTGAATTTGTTTAATGGATTTAGTTATTATAAATTTGTGTTATTTCCTTGGAAGTGTACCGGATGGACTACCTTCAAATTACTTTAGTAATGGAATAGTAATTTGGTTAAACTTTTGTCTTCAAAATAATCTAAAAGAAATATCAAAATAGACATCAAATATGTTGATCGAAGTAATTAGTTACTTCTTCTTCTGGCTTAAACTAAACGTGGACCCCATCAATGAAGGGTTTCGTGAAATTTACATGCTCGAGAAGGTAACTAAATAAAATTAGATTCTTCATAAAATAAAAATAAAATACTAATCCGGGTATTTGAAATAATTATCATTTTTGTTGCAAATAAGTAATTTAGTTATAGAATGTTGCATTAAAATATTGAGACACGTTCGTTATTTTTAATAGCTACCTGGGTACTGCTTATTATGTATAAATGTCCCTTTGGTCCTAATTTAATATTTAGTTTTGAGTTATTATTGACTCATTGGACAACTTTTTTGAAACCGTTTGTTAAAACGTAAAAGCGCAACTTAAAGTCGCTTCTACCTTTAACAGTCAATGAAATTTTACATTTGACAGATGTTTTGTGATTTGTAATAGTCATTTCGCGGTAACTTTTGTTAAGTTTTGTCAAATAAGCCAAATGGGAACTAAAGTAAGGGTTCTGTGGCAGTGTTATTTGTGCAAGTTGAAGTAAAATGTAAAATAATTTCAATACTTAACTCAAAATGTTTGGAATAATAACTGATCCCAGGTTAATTTAAAGTACAAATCAAGTCAACTTTCGTTTAGCCGAAATCAGTTACGTAAAAATTGTTGCCATGGCAACCGTTGCCATGGTAACCAGTAAACAAAAACGGAAATCTCGTGGTGAGGAAATGTATAGTTGCCAAGTTATAGATTATTTAATGTTCACTTTAGTTTAGACTAAATCAGTTATGGTAAAACTGTTGCCATGGAAACGCTTGACATAGTAACGACTAAACAAAAAGCCAAATCCCATGGTGAGGAAATGCGTGGTTGACAAGTTACAGATGATTTAATTTAGCTGTAATCAGTTACGGAGAATTTCTTGCCATAGAGACACTTGTCATGGTAACTACTAAACAAAAACCCAAATCCTGTGGTAAGAAAATGCATAGTTGGCAAGTTACAGGTCATTTAATTGTCACTTTAGTTTAGCTGAAATCGGTTATGTAGATGTCGTGATGTCGACTAAACAAAAACCTAAATCTAGTGGTGAGGAAATGGTATCCTAATCTAAACTAAAGTGAAAATGAAACCATCTATAACTTGGCAACTAGGCATTTTCTCACTACGGGATTTGTTTAGTCATTAGCATGTCAAACGTTTCCATGGCAACAGTTTCTCTATCAGATTACGCTACGCTCCTCCTACCCACAAACTAACTACTATAGAGGAAATCGCGCGCGATTTTCGAAACGTCAGCCAGGCGCGCCCTTTTTCCACCTACATAGTAAGATCACGCTACGCTCCTCCCACATACCTCTTAACTACTACAGAGGAAAGCGAACGAAGCGAGCGCGCCCGGCCGACGTTTCGAAATTGGCGCGCGCGAATTTCGAAACGTCGGCCGGGCGCGCTCTTTTTCCACCTACATCATAAGATCACACTACTTGGCAACTACGCATTTTCTCACCACGAGATTTGGGTTTTTGTTTAGTCGTTAGCATAATAAGCGTTTCCATGGCAACATTTTTTGAATAACTTATTTCAGTTAAATGAAATTAAATAAAAACCGTAATCATCTACAACTTGGCAACTACGCATTTCCTCACCATAAGATTAGGGTTTTTGTTTACTCATAGCCATCACATTTGTTATTATGACAACAGTTTTTGCATTACAGATTTCGGCTAAACTAAAGTTGAGCCTACAAATCCTATAAAGATATTTCAAATTTCAACATTGTCCGTTGTTCGTTCACCCTCATCCAACTTTTTACACAAAGCATAGAAACGTATGATTCCTAATCGAATGAAACTGTTTGATGGCGGTGAATACTGCCATCGTTTCTGGTTAATGTTACATTTTTATACTTATACTGTGTTTTCTGTTTCAGAGATAATGTTATTCACAATGTTAGGGACACAATGTTGCATTCTGGATTATGTAGCAGCAAACTACTTCATACATAATACATTTTATAATAAAGGATTTGTATATTATATATTTATAATAAATTTATTTTCTGATTATGCTTGTTTCTTTATCTATAAACTGTTACTCAAGTTAAGATTGGTTTATGCAACTCAATTTTTGCTTTATTATAGCGAATATCGCTATAATAACGTAGAAATTCAGTTTGTGTGAACAAATCTTAATTTGGCTAACAGTTTT